TGTCCGTTTGACACCAGAGTCTATGTTCTCGACCACTATGAGAGATGACTCCCTTGTCATAATGCATTGCAATTGTCTTTGGATTTGTTCATCTCTTCCTTCCTAGATTGTGAGCTCTTTGGGACTAAGAATAATTTTTTTTTGTCATCTTGGTATTCCAGACACTTGTCCATAATTTGTTGAATAAATAAACGAATAAGTAAATGAATAAATGTTAGAATGGCAGTAGTTCCTGCAGCTAAAAATTCTTCTAGAAAAAAAAATGTATATATATTTTTTTAGACAGAGTCTCACTCTGTCACCCAGACTGACCTCGGCTCACTGCAACCTCTGCCTCCTGAGTAACTGGGATTACAGGCGCATGGCACCACACTCAGCTAATTTTTGTATTTTTAAGTAGAGACGGGGTTTTGCATGTTGGCCAGGCTGATCTCGAACTTCTGACCTCAGGTGATCTGCCTGCCTCGGCCTCCCAAAGTGCTGGGATTACAGGTATGAGCCACTGGCCGAAATATTTATTGTCCTCTTCCTCTGTAATGTTTCCTAACCACCTGCTTCTAAACAAATGGTTGCAGATCTATATAAAAGAAATGATCCTGGTCTTTGTGCTGCCATAGATGCATTTTGCCTCTTGTTTTGTTTGTTTGTTTGTTTGTTTTTTTGAGACGGAGTCTTGCTCTGTCGCCCAGGTTGGAGTGCAGTGGCACTGTCTCCGCTCGCTGCAAGCTCTGCCTCCCGGGTTCACGCCATTCTCCTGCCTCAGCCTCCTGAGTAGCTGGGACTATAGGCGCCCGCCACCTCGCCCAACTTTTTTTTTTTTTGTATTTTTAGTGGAGATGGGGTTTCACCGTGTTAGTCAGGATGGTCTCAATCTCCTGACCTCGTGATCCACCCACCTCGGCCTCCCAAAGTGCTGGGATTACAGGCGTGAGCCACAGTGCCCGGCGCATTTTGCCTCTTCTGCGATTTGTAGGCTTCTGATTTTCCTCTCTCTCCCTAAATACATAATGCTTGTTTACAGAGCAGGGTCCAATTTCTCTTTGTTCTGCCGGGTCATTCAGACATTTCTATACTGTATTGCTCTATTTCTTAGAGACTTGAGCGCTACTTGAATAACAAAAATTTGAGTCACAGGCAGCCCCAATCTCAAATCTCATTTCTTGCTGGATCATGGGGCAGCCCAGGAAGATCTAACATCATTTAAATTTCAGTAGTTTGGCAAGGCAAGTAGGGAAGGGAGAATTCTTTTTTTTTTTTTTTTTTTTTTTTGGAGAGTCTCGCTCTGTAGCCCAGGCTGGAATGCAGTAGCACAATATCGGCTCACTGCAACCTCTGCCTTCCAGGTTCAAGCCATTCTACTGGCTCAGCCTCTTGAGTAGCTGGGATTACAGGCATCTGCCACCACACCTGGCTAATTTTTTTGTATTTTTAGTAGAAACAGGGTTTCACCATTTTGCCCAGTCTGGTCTTGAACTCCTGACCTCAAGTGATCTGCCTGCCTCTGCCTCCTAAAGTGCTGGGATTATAGGCGTGAACCACAGTGCCCAGTTGGGAAGGGAGAATTCTTATGCTACCAGGTCAATAAGTAAAATTTTCAGAAAACCAACTGCTGATGTCCTTAGGTTAAAGAAAAAAAGAAAAAAAAGAAAGAAAACACCCACTGTTGTTTCATAGGCCACCACGAAATATCCTGGTTATCCTTCAAAGCCATACTGCTTGGTTGAACAGGATCGGGTTGTGGGGTACTGCCAACTGGAAACCCCTGACTTAGGCTGGGGCTGTCTAATTCAGCACAAGAACAAGCTTGCAGGCACTTGGACTTCCACCTTGGTGGTCCAAATAATAATATTAAGAGATGTGTCAGGGTTGGGCATGGTGGCTCACGCCTGTAATCCCAGCGCTTTGGGAGGCTGAGGTGGGAGGATCAGTTGAGGCAAAGAGTTTGAGACCAGCCTGACCAACACGGTGAAACCTCGTCTCTGCTAAAAATACAAAAAATTAGCCAAGCGAGGTGGTGCACGACTGTAATCCCAGCTACCTGGCAGGCTGAGGCAGGAGAATTGCTTGAATCTGGGAGGTGGGGGTTGCAGTGAGCCAAGATTGGGCCACTGCACTCCAGCCTGGGAGACAGGGAGATCCTGTCTCAAAAAAAAAAAAAAAAAAACCAACAACAAAAAAGAAGAAAATGTTTAAGGCTTCTCTTTCCAAGGCCCTGGTTAAGCTTACTGTATCACTAACCAAATTAGCTGATGAATAATTACCACCTATTAAGTTACTATATGTTAGGCACTGTGCTAAATGTTTACTTTTGTCCCATTTAATCCTTAGAACAACACTGTGACTATTATTATTGTTATCCTACAAATGAGGAATGGAAGGTTTAGTGAAATAAAACAATTTGCCCAGCATAGTGGTTGCACCAAGGGTTACTTGGGTGCTTTGTTTGCCTCATGTGAATCTCTAGTAGCCCCGTTTAAGTCACCTTACGTAATTTAAAAAGCCCAATAATAATGATATTGTTATTCTTTCATCTTGACAATAAATGTTTTTTCACTCTCATTTAAAATGTGAATAGCCGGGCACAGTGGCTCACGCCTGTAATCCCAGCACTTTGGGAGCCCGAGGCGGGTGGATCACGAGGTCAGGAGATCGAGATCATCCTGGCTAACACGGTGAAACCCCGTCTCTACTAAAAATACAAAAAATTAGCTGGGCGTGGTGGTGGGTGCCTATGGTCCCAGGTACTCAGGAGGCTGAGGCAGGAGACTGGCGTGAACCCGGCAGGCGGAGCTTGCAGTGAGCCGAGATCGCCCCACTGCACTCCAGCCTGAGTGAGAGCAAGACTCCATCTCATTAAAAAAAAAAAAAAAAAAAAAGTGAATAAAGGTCAGGCGTGGTGGCTCACGCCTGTAATCCCAGTACTTTGGGAGGCCAAAGGGGGTGGATCACTTTAGGTCAGGAGTTTGAGACCAGCCTGGCCAACATGGTGAAACCCTGTCTCTACCAAAAATACAAAAAATTAGCCGGGCATGGTGGCGGTCGCCTGTGATCCCAGCTACTTGGGAAGTTGAGGCACAAGAATTGCTTGAACCCAGGAGGTGGAGGTTGCAGTGAGCCGAGATCACACCACTGCATTCCAGTCTGGGCGACAGAGAGAGACTCCATCTGAAAAGAAAAGCGAATAAAGTGATAATGGTAATAATAATAATAGCTAACACTTATGGAGTGCTTATCCTAAAGCATTCTGTTCAAAGTTCTAAACGTGATAACATTAAATTTGTACAATAATCTTTTTAGGAAGATGTTATCCTAATTTGCATATGAAGAAACTGAGACACAGAGAAGGTAAGTAACTGTCATAAGGTATCATGACTGGTAGGTGGCAGAGCTAAAACTCTGCTATTTTCATCTTATTTTATTGATTTATAACACAGCCTAAGTAATACAAACAATATGCTTAATACAACTACTCACATTCTCAAGGCAAGTCCTCCAGACTTCACTTCCAACCAGTCTGCAATCCCCAAACACCTTTTACATAGAAATTCTTAGTCACCACTGGTCCCGCATTACGTGGGGTCAGGAGTTTGAGACCAGCCTGGCCAACATGGTGAAACCCCATCTAAAAATACAAAAATTAGCTCGGCGTGGTGGCGCGCACTTGTAGCCCCAGCTATAGGGGAGGCTGAGGCAGGAGAATTGCTTGAACCCATGAGGCAGAGGTTGCAGTGAGCCGAGATCGCACCACTGCACTTAAGCCTGGGCGACAGAGCGGGACTCCGTCTCAAAAAAAAAAAAAAAAAAAAAAAAAAAAAAGGAAAAAAAATGCCTTCAGTCATTGACAAATGTGGGAGTGGAGGTGGTGGAATGGCAAAGTTTCTCCTTGGTTGAAAGCCACTGATCCAAACCATTTCATTTTACAAATGATGAAGCTGAGGTCCAAAGAGATGAAGTAACTTGTTTAAGCTAGTTAGCAAAGCCAAGATTAGAATCCAGGTCGTTTAAGCTAGTTAGCAAAGCCAAGATTAGAATCCAGGTCATTCACGCAATATCCTTTTATTCCTATAATGTACAAGGCATGATATGGAACCCAGGGAAAGTCACGGCAGTCCTTGTCCTCACAGTCTGGTAGGGGAGAGAATCTATTGCACAGATATCTCTGTCTCCACGAAGTTGACAAGCCATAAAGAGCTCCTCAGGCAGTAAGGTGTAGAGAAAGAGAATATGGTCCAGCGTTCTGAATTCCGGATCTGCCACTTTTTTGCTGCAGGATTTGACTAAGGTTCAGTTTCATCATCAATGAAATGGAGATCATGGTATCTACCTATATTACCAGTTTGAAATGCGTCTGTGGATGCATTGTGCAAACCCTAAAGCTCTTACAAACATCGGATATTAGTACTAACTTCATTAGGAATGTGAGTTATGTCAGAGTAAAAGCTCTCAGAGCTGGGGTGAACTATAGACGGGTGGCTTCATTCCTCGACCTTCCAATTCGAGATCTTTTTCCTTCTGCGGGAGGGGAAGCAGGCAAATAGCCTGCCTCTCACAGAGTGCCCATTCCCTCCCCGGAACCAAGGTGCTCAGGCGGGTAAACTCAGGACACAACACTGTACAACTAGTCCCACAGGCAGGAGCCACTCCCTGGCTCTCGGGTCTCTCAAGCCCCGCCTGCTCCAAGCTACGGCCCCACCCAAAAAGGAGACTGACCCCGCCCCCTCTGCGCTGGCCGGCACTCCTGCCGCGCGGAGACTCCAGGACAGTCCCAGGCCCGTGCCGGAGATTCCCGAGCTTCCCCGATCGCTTCCCAGCCTCCCTCGGGCAGCTAGCGAGGAGGCGACGGAGATTGCCGAGAAGGGCTGGCCCCGCCCCTCCGCAGGCCGCCACCGCCCCCCTAGCCGTAGCCTCCCGCGCGGGCTGGAGTCCTACATCCCGGTCCCTCCCTCCTTCTTTCTCTCTCCCCGCCTTCCCGGTGCTGCCACAGTGGCGGGTCGGAGGATCCCGGCCAGTCAGCTCGTTCCTGCCTCGCGCCCCTCCTCCCCCCAAATAAACAGCCCTCCCTACGCCTTGGGAGCCCGGACCGCCCCCTTCCTCCCTCGGCCGGCGTGTTGTGAGGGAGAGTGTGAGCCAGCGCGGCCGGCGGGCGAGCTCCGGGAGTGCGAGAGGCGGGGCGGCGCGGCGGGCCGGGCCGGGTGTCGCGTGTGCGTGCGGGGGTGCGAGTGAGTGCCCGTCGCGACCCGCCAGTGGCCCCGCGCCGACAACCCGGCGGGCGGGCGGGCGAGCGAGCGAGCGACCAGGCGAGGAGCTGCGGGCGCGAGCCGCGGAGGGGCGCGGAGTCCGCGCGCTCGCGCGCACGCACGCACGCACGCGGGGGGCGGGGGCAGGCGCGCGCCCGCCTGTCGCGACAGTCGGGGCCGAGGTCCAGGGGGAGGTGGCCTGTCGCGGGTCGCCCGGCTCCCGGAGGCGAGGGGGGCGCGGGCGGATGGCGGAGGGCGCCCAGCCGCAGCAGCCGCCTCAGCTCGGGCCCGGCGCCGCTGCCCGGGGCATGAAGCGGGAGTCGGAGCTGGAGCTGCCGGTGCCCGGAGCGGGAGGAGACGGAGCCGATCCCGGCCTGAGCAAGCGGCCGCGCACTGAAGAGGCGGCGGCCGACGGTGGCGGCGGGATGCAGGTGACCGCGCGGGACGGGGCGCCCAGTTATTGCGGGGGAGAGGGGGAGTGGCGTGAGGGGCGACCCCGGGCTCCCCGGCTTGGAGAGAGGGAGGGCCTCCGGGGGTCCTGGGTTGGAGGTGGGATGGGGGACCAGTCGGGGCCTGGTTGGAAGGTGGGGCGAGCTCGGGCTAGGAATGAAGGTTGCAGGACTGATCCTGGTGTGCCCGAGAGGGTCCTGATTCCTGAGGGGCAAGGAGGCACGACGAGTGGATAGGTTTTGGGGGGAAATCGAACGTGGTTGAGATGGATTCCATTTCTTCAAATCCTTCCTTAGTGCCCTGGGGTGGAGTGGAAGCCGGGAAATCCTGGGTTCTCTGGACGGAGTCGAGGAAGAGGGGATCTCGTGGGAAACCTCCCAAGAAGAGGGAGTACCTTTTGGCAGCCCTGGGCACACGCTGGGATGGGGAAGAGAAGTGGCATTTCAAGGAGAGGAGTGAAAAGCAAGAAAACTCCTCGAGAGAGCCCCGAGGGGATGTGGCTGAGATTGTGGGTTAAAACACACAGAGAGTGTGAGAAGTACAGGGAGTTTGGTAATGTTGTGGGGACACGGTGGTGCTCAGTCTCATTAACTTTGTGGAGCATACTAATGAGTCTGAAGGGAGACACCAGACATGTCCCTCCTGTTCTTTGCCAATTGCATTCTACATCTCCAGGACACAAAATAGCTCTTTAATGTCCTGGGCTATAAAAAAAAAATTTATAGGGCTATTAGAAGACTGGATTCTCAATTCTGGATTCAAAGATAAAGGTGGTTAATTTGGGTAGGGAATGGGAAAGGTATTGATGATGTCAGTTGACTTCATAGTTTTGAGGAAGACCTTGAAACCTTTGGAGGTTTTAGGGTTTGGTCTCTGCCCAGAAAATACTGCTATGAAATGGTGAGTCTCACCTATCAGCAATTGTGCAGACATGTGCCTAGTTCTCTCAGAGTGATAGGATGTTAGAGGGATGAGGAGGACTAGACATCTTTTCCAGGGGCTCTTAACCTGGACAGACTAGGAAGATTCTTACTTATAAAAGGTGATGTGCACTTTTTGGTGGCGGAGAGTCAATGATTTTCATCTTTGTTTTTTTTGGAGGGGATTCGAGTCCCAGCTTGTTTTAACCACCTTATTTTATAGATGGGGAATCAGAAGTCCAGAGAAGATGAGTGACTTGGGTAAGGCCACCTAGTTAGCTGATAGTAAAACTAGAACCAGAAGCCTAGTCTTCTAATTCCTATTCCTGTGCTGTCTCCATTACACCACTCTTGGAAATCTCTGCAGTGCTAAAAGACTTCCTGTGCTCTGCTCCCTGCTTTTCAAGCCTCTGCCTGACTTCCTGTGTTAGGGACGGAGCTGTACTTAAGCCTAGCGTATTTGTTGTGTGCTTCTTGGTCTCCTTTGCAGAGTTTACCCTGTTACTTGTGTTGATTTAGGTAAAGTGACCCTCTTGGTGTTTATTTTTGAATTCTTTTGTTTTGTTTGCCTGCTTTTATTTTCCATTAGAACTCTGTCAGGTAGAGGGATTGTGAGAAGTAAAAGCTCAGGGCCATGGAAAAAAAGACAGGAATATGGGAGACTGCAGGTGAGGTGAGCTAATATTGGATGGTAAGGAGGGAAGACTGGATATAGGTGCTGGTGAGCAGGTTCTACTTTGTGTGTGTGTGTGTATGTCTGTATGTATTCATTTATCATTTCTGTAAATCATAGTTAATAGTGAGACCCCCATTCCTTTCCCTCATTTACTCCTGGGGCCTATTATCTGCTGGTTGCCTTCAAATTGGCTAAAGATAGTGATATTTGGAAATGGAGCAATGTGTAGGGACTTCACAGGGGTGTGCAGAGGAAAGAGTGGTTAGGTCCTTGGGGGTACAAATTGGCAGCTGAGAACTATCCCTCTGAGAATCCTTTTTTCACTCTGTGTATTTGTGGATGTTCTTTGTTTATTTTCTTTCTATACATTTTTTTTTTTTTTTGCCCAGGCTGGAGTGCAATGGCACGGTCTCAGCTCACTGCAACCTCCACCTCCACCTCTGGGTTCAAGCGATTCTCCTGCCTCTGCTTTCTGAGTAGATGGGATTACAGGCATGTGCCACCATGCCCAGCTAATTTTTCATAATTTTAGTAGAGGGGGAGTTTCACCAGGTTGGCCAGGCTGTTCTCGAACTCCTGACCTCAGGTGGTCCACCCACCTCAGCCTCCCAAAATGTTGGGATTACAGGCGTGAGCCACCACACCCAGCCTTCTATACATTTTCGTTGTTGTAGGTCCATTCCCCTATGTCATACAGGTATTCAGATCATCACTGATTTAGGTCCTGCCTTCAACTAGCTGAGTGCCTGCAGAAATCTTTCATTTTGGGGCCTCTGTTTTCCTTAGCTATAAAATAAAGTATGTCTACAAGATGATTTCCCTCGTGATCTGTCCGCCTTGGCTTCCCAAAGTGCTGGGATTATAGGTGTGAGCCACCACACCCGGCCGGTTTCTAAGTTACCTTCTAAAAGATATAAGTGCAGTTCACTGTCCTTAAGGTGCATGCAATCTATGTGGGGATACAAATGGGTGAAAAGTTTTTTTAAAGAAGTGTGAGAGTATTACATGAATATACTTAATGTTTATTCATTGAACTAACATTTATTGAGCAGCTGCTACATCCCAGGCACTGTTTTAACCCTGAGATACAATAGTGAACAACAATGAAAAACCCTTGCTGTCATGGAACTAATATTGAATGGGAAGAGACATCTAATAAATCAACATCTATAATTGTATGGTGATAAGGGCTAAAAGAAAAATAAAGCAGGGAAAGGGAGAGATGGGAAGGGAGAGAATGCAGATGGTTACGGAAGGGCTTTCTGATAGATGGCCTATGAGTGAAGTGAGGGAATGGACCATTCAGATGTTTTTGGAAAGAGGGTTCAGGTAGAGGAGGTGAGGGTGCAGAGGCATTGAGAAAGAAGACTGCTTGGTTTGAGAACAGGAAACCAATGTATTAATAGCTGGAACAGAGTGAGCAGGGGCAGATAGTCTTAGGAGATGATATCAGCGGTTTAGAAGTATCTATAGACCCTATGTAATACACACTTTAAAAATCTTAGCCGGGCGCAGTGGCTCACGTCTGTAATCCCAGCACTTTGGGAGGCTGAGGTGGGCGGATTGCCTGAGGTCAGGAGTTCAATACCAGCCTGGCCAACATAGTGAAACCCCTGTCTACTAAAAATACAAAAAATCAGCCAGGCGTGATGGCATGCGCCTGTAATCCTAGCTGCTAGGGAGCCTGAGGCAGGGGAATCACTTGAACCCGGAAGTGGAGGTTGCAGTGAGCCGAGGTCCCGCCATTGCGTTCCAGCCTGGGCAACAAGAGCGAAACACTGTCTCAAAAAAAAAAAAAAAAAATCTTATTGTAGCCAGTGTTTTGGGTATGTGGGCTTGCCTTAAAGTACATGTTTTTTGTTTTTTGTTTTTTTTTGAGGTGGAGTCTCACTGTTGCCCAGGCTGGAGTGCAGTGGTGCGATCTCAGCTCGCTGCAACCTCTGCCTCCTGGGTTCAAGCAATTCTCGTGCCTGAGCCTCCTGAGTAGCTGGAACTACAGGCATGCGCCACCACATCCTGCTAATTTTTGTATTTATAGTAGAGATGAGATTTCACCATGTTGGCCAGGCTGGTCTCGAACTCCTGACCTCAGGTGATCCGCCTGCCTTGGCCTCCCAAAGTGCTGAGATTACAGGCATGAGCCACTGCGGCTGGCCTGTTTTCTTAACACGTTTTCTAGCTCCTTCTGTGAAGCTTTCCCTGACAGCTTAGTTTGCACCATTCAGATCCTACTCTTGCCTACTGGTATATTGATGCTTAGTTGTGCATCATCTTTTATTGTCCCTTAATTGTTTTATTATTCTTGTTTCACTGCTAAGATTGTAAGCTTCTAAAGGATAGGAACTATATTTCCTTTGTATGTATCCTTCGTAATACCTAACAGTTTTGGGTACTTGGTAAGCGCTCAATGCCTGTTAAATTGAAATTGAAATTTACCTTTTACAGATAGTTAAGGGTTAAGAAAAAATTACGAAATTCCGGAGTAAGGGTATCATCACAGAATTTTCCAGGCACTTTGGATTCACCCCTTTTTATAGAATAAGTTCACTTACTGGAGTCATTCCCAAGGCTACTTACTAAATGGAGCTGTAGTGCTAAGCATTAGGTTCCAAAGTTGAATCTTGTTAAGTTGTATCACTAAGCTTTGCAGTAAATCATCACTTACCAAAATGGAGTTTAGGAAACTCCAGAGAGTCTGTGATGCTTTTATTACAGGCTGGGCAAGGTGGCTCACGTCTGTAATCCCAGCACTTTGGGAGGCCAAGGCGGGTGGATCATGAGGTCAGGAGATCGAGACCACCCTGGCTAACACAGTGAAACCCTGTCTCTACTAAAAATACAAGAAAGTAGCCAGGCGTGGTGGCAGATGCCTGTAGTCCCAGCTACTCGGGAGGCTGAGGCAGGAGAGTGGCGTGAACCCGGGAGCGGAGCTTGCAGTGAGGCGAGATCCGGCCACTGCACTCCAGCCTGGATGACAGAGCAAGACTCCGTCTCAAAAAAAAAAAAAAAAAAAAAAAAAAAGCGGAAACTTTTATTATAATCCTTAGGCTCAGAAGGAACCCTATGAGAGAGAGAGGAAGGGTCGGTGCTTTCAAAGGCAGTATACAGAAACTTGATGTAGGTGGAAGAGGAGTCGATGCAGCCCTGGAAAGAGTATGGAAATAGAGAAACCTGAGTAGGAGAGAAGTGACAAACTCAACTGGAAAGTTGATGTACAGTTCGAGAAATGTAGTTAGAGCACTTGGAAATACTGTAACTCAAACTTGGTGGGAAGTTAAATGAGTTACTTGTAGGGCTATTAGAGATTCATTTCACTTTAAGTCTGATATGTATGAAATTTAGGCCCTATAAAACATACTGGGGAATGAATTCTTTTGGTCAGCTT